GGGGGGGCTTCGTGTACCCATGGGTAAGTAAAAATAAATTGGCAGTGTTGATGACATACAGAAAATAAATAATTAGTAACTATAATAAGTGAAATATTTATTATTCCTCATTTCTTTTTTATTTTTAGAAACATAAAGTTATTACCTATGTTGTGGTGGTTACACAAATGGAAATCGATTTTTTGCTCTTTATAGAGGCGTCGGATATCATTTAGATGAATTTGGTGATGGTAATCAAGCCCCGTCAAATTATCAAGACTTGTTGAACTTAAGATATGCTAGAGCATGAAATGTGATAGAGCATTCATTTGGCGTCTTGAAGATGCATTGCGGGTGTCCTTAGGAGCAAAACTTTTTTCAATATAGGCACGTAGAATAAACTAACACTTGCATGTTGTCTTCTCCAAAATTAAATTCGCGCATCTATGAATGTCGGTCTGATGGAATTTTATGGAGATTCATACGAAAATGACCCCCAAAACCATGGTGCTCATGATCCCCCTGAGTATGTAGATGTTGTAGAACCGACAGAAGAATGGACAAATTGGCGAGATTCTTTAGCGATATGTTTAACGAAAGGGAACGCAAACATTGATTAGTTTTATGTGTTTGAAGTGCCATTATAATCGAGTGTTGTTTCTCCTAGTATTGCATTCATTAAGACTTTTCCTACCTGTATTTCTAACTTCTGCTTGTAGCAAAACAATTTATGCATACAAATCTTTGTTATTTTGTTACTGGATTGCGTACTACGATTCAACAAATCCGCTTGTTCAAGTTAGTTATTTAAAATATATGCTACGGAACGATACACTAGCCCATATTTTTTTGAACTTTTCTTATATGGAATTTACCTCATTTTTCAAATTTGATACCAGTTCTGTGATGGAGTAAACTGCTAGTGGGGGACAAAATGTTCAGGCAAATGACCATCGTCGGGTATGGACAATCGATGAAGAACGTGCATTAATAGAGACACTCAAGGACCTTGTCTCTCGCGGTTGAAAATGTGACAATGGTTTCCGGTCCGGCTACACTACCTTGTTGGAAAAACATATGAATCATGTCTTTCCAGGTACAGACATTAAAGCCGAACCGCATATTTTTTCAAAGATTATCGTTTGGATAAAAATAATGTTATGGTTTACTAGCCGATATGATGGGGACCTCTGGATTCGGGCAGAGTGAACATGGAAACAGATTGGAGGTAAAGAATGACGACGTGTGGAATGCTTACGTCAAGGTATGACTTGCTTTTTTTTGTGTGTTTTTTTTTGTTCAAGTTTGAATTTGTGTAAGTAAAATTTGTACTTTATCTTCTTTTGGCGATTCTTATGAAATTCCTATATGTTGAACTGTTTAGCATGGATATTTGGGTTGTACTAGGTTCATCCAAATAGTAAAACAATGCATTAAAAGTCCTAGCCATTTTACGGTGATTGGCTTGAAGTGTTTGGAAAAGAAAGGGCAACCAATGTGGGGGCACAAGGCTTCACGGGTGCGGTAATTGAGGTCTTACACAACAACAACACAGAGCTAATACCAGATTCTATACTGGTCCCTACAACACCGCCAGAAGTATCAAATTTTTCTTTTGATCCTTTACATGAAAGTGCAATGGAGTCTTCTTCGACACATGGTGGTGAAAGCGGTGCATCAGCTAAGGGGAAGCGCTTGTGGAAAAGAAAACGTCTTTTACAAGTGGAGGATGATATAGTTGGTATGTTGTCTTCATTATGTGAAAATGCTAATGCATGTCTTCCTGATATAGCTACAGGAGTCGGGTTCCAACAAACTGCAAAGGAGCAACGTACGACTGTGTATGTGGCGCTACGTCTAATCCCTCACTTGAGTACCAGCCAAAAGGTGGTTGTCGCTTGATATTTATGCAAAAATAATGATGAGCTAGATCTTTTCTTCAGTCTGGACCATGACACTAAAAAGTCTATGGTGGAACAAATTTTACCTTGATATGAATTAAGTTTGTCTGATGGATTAGGCTTCATTTGTTGGTTGAATGGCTTGCGATTATATACGTATGTTGACTATTACGAATTGGTGATGATAATTGAACTTTTGTGGCCTCTTGTCTGTATTATCGTTTTAAATTTCTCACTTGATGGAGCGAGGATCATTCATATATTTATTGCAAAACGAAACATTTGACTTTTGATTTATTATAAAAATATTCAGTTTATGGTTGAATGTCACGAAGTGTGATTACACGTGACTGATGATATGTATATAGGCTATGCAGTTGTGTTGTTATCCAATGTGGAAACTATGCATCTTTATAATCGTGTTTCGCAATAAACCTTGTTAACAAAACAAATACAAGAAATTTAATTAATTAATTAAATAATCAACAAAACATTTTCTTTTAACTGTCATTGAAATTCAATTCACGGTGCCAATTAAGAATTGAACTTTTAATAAAAAAAATTTAATTAATTAATTAAGAATTATGTGATATTTTTTAATGTTAAATAATTAAAAAATTTGGGATGAAGAATTTGAACTTTTAATATAATTTTTTTGATTAATTAATTAAGAATTGTATGGTATTTTTTAATGTTAAATAATTAAATAATTTGGGATGCAGTTGGTTTTTTAACTAAATTGTAAGAAATAATTTTATGTTTCAACATATTAAAAACACTATTACAGTAATCCCACTCTACACTTTCTAACTAGGCGAAACTACTTCCCCTAATTCTACGAAACCTGCCTATTAAAATCGGATATGTTCGCCTTCCTCCGCGACGGCTTAGCTTGGCCAGGGGTCGTCCTTGACCGCCTGGACCACTCCCGGTGTTGCGCGCTTTCGATGTGGTTGTGGATTGCTTGGGGTGCAGTGGTATGGTATGTGGTCGCTGATTGGGTCTAGATGGTAGTTGGCGAGTCCCGGCCGATGATCGGCTGACGATTGGAGGTGCTTTCTTTGATTGCCAGCGATGCTCTGGTTTGCGGTGTTTTGCACTTCTTTTGGTCCTCGTTTGTGGCTGTTGGGTTGTGGCTCTCCGGCGGGGTTTTCACATGTTCTGGTGGGGATCTGTCGTTGGTCTTCGGCAATTTGTGGTGGGGTCAGGGGGTGCGGGAGCAAATGAGTGTGGCGGGATCCCGGTTCCTGTGTCGTTCTTGTACGGCAGCTGGAGTTGAAGGCCCGGGCCCCTCACTCTTCTCCTTGGTCGGCTAGTGGTGTTAGGCGGCGGGGGATTGGTCCTATCGAGCATGGCTAGTGGTGTTAGACGAGTTCGGTGGGGCTGACGTGGGGGCTGGTTGGGGCTCTCTCGATTCGATATGGGTCGATTCGGGATTATCTCAGGGGTTGGCGTTCGTGCAGTTTCGGTAGCGGTTCTCGTGCCCGAGGTTTTCTTTATGTCGGTCTTTCACTACTGGTTGAGCTTAGTTCGGTTCACAGGGTAGGGCTTCGTTTTCGTTTATTATTGTTTATGTTTCTGTTTTTCTTAGTTGTCTGACCGTTGTGTTTGTGTTGGTGTGGTCCATGTGTTTTTGGTTTGGGTCGTTGGCCCCGGTTTGGCCCCAGTGTAGCCTTTATTCTAATGTTGGGAGTTTACACTCTGGTATTACCCTGTTGGGGTCTTTTTATTTATGTATGTTTTCCGTTGGGTTTCTAGTTTGGTGCTGGTGCCAATGTGTGTTGGTCATTCTAGCTTTGCTAGTTGGTATTCCGTCTAGGTTACATTAGTTGTGTGTGTAACCTTTTATTTCCCTTGCTTCGGGCTCGCCTTTGTACATTGCCTTTTTGGCCTTTTTTTATGAGTATGTTTATGTCGTTTGAAAAAAAAGCACTATTATATTCAAATGAACATGTAGTAATTGGTGAGGTATAATGCATAAAGAATACAATTTTAATGACACTGCAAACGAGTTTTGACATAGATAGCATTTTGAAGACTTTTAAGTACTACAAAAATAAGAAATAATAAGCAACAATATTTCTTAAATATTAATATCTACAGAACGAGGTCATTTTCTGTGGTCAAAAAATTAAATACCGAACCAACTATTGAAGCATAAATCTCAAACCCAAAACGTGGAAACTTAAAAACTCTATCCCTCTCTTCACCTCTCAAAAACATTGCGACCAAACAAATAAAGGAAGGGTTCCAATACATTTTCTTCTACAGGGGAATAATGTTATCTTCAATTTATTTTTTCATCGATTTTACACTTGATATGTCAAGGATTTTTCCAATGAACGTGTTCGCTCGTCGGGTCGGTTAGATCTGAACATGTTCTTTCATGATTTACGGACATGAAATTGTGAATAGGCCAAACGCATTGGGGCTCAATATATTTCTTATCCCACTTCATCTCAACAGCGGCATCTTCTTCAACCACCGCCATCTCAATCTCAGCAACCACCGCTCCAACAACAAAATCAACAACAGCCACAGCCACAACAAAAGCAGCCATCTTCTTCTCAACAGCGGCAACCTCCACCACCTCCTCCTAGGAAGAACCCTCAACATAACAAAACCGTGATCTCGACCTCCTCCAAAACCGACGATCGTCAGAAAACTACCAACCGCCAACACAAGTCTGACGATCGTAAAAAAACCACAGACCGCCAGCATAAAACCGATGACTGCTCTCAGAAAACCGGTCCTCGAGCCCTCGGTTCTAAGGATAATCCCCCAGGCAAAAGCACCGATAAATCCTCCGACCCTAACATCTCGTCCAAGACCATCGATAAATTCTCTAAACCCAACACCTCGTCCAAAACAAAAACCCAAGAAAAATATCCTCTCGACCAACAATCCTCCAAAACCCTTTCCGCCGGCTCGACCAAGGCTTTGGTCGAGATCGTCGGTCAAGACGACGCAGGGCGTGAGGCAATTCTTGGCAAGCATTCCCACACCGAGCAGCTAGAAGCGGTGTAGAAACGATCACGTAATAGCCATCTTTCGCCTATAACTTTAGCCTCCCAGTCCACCTCTATCTTATCCGCCGCTATGAATGAAGTGGTCGATCGTCTCGAGGCGTCCTCCTCGAGGACGACCACAAAAAGACTGCCGCCACTCTCCCTGAAGTTGGCGACCAGCTCGTCCAATGGTTTTCCCATGTATTGTTTTTCGTGTGTTTACTCTAACTCGTCATTATCGCCTTTTCCTCTTGTCGACCACTGGATTAAACTGTTTCATTTTGTCTATATAGGGCTTGGTCAAGTTCTTGCCCCTGGCCAAGGAGGCTCGGGACAACTCGAGGAAGTTGATTAAAAGCCTCGAGAGCAACATCGTCTATCTGCAGGATAAAAATTTGACCCTCATGCAGCATAATGCCAAGCTCCGCGAGACACAAACAGAACAGAAGATAGAGTTCGACGTCAAGATTAGATCCCTTGATGAAGAGCTCAGTAACAAAGGAAAGGCTCTCGCGGAGAGAGATGCTGCTCTTGCGGAAAAGGAGGTTGCGGTGGCGGAGAAAGAGGTCTTCATGAAGAAAAAGGAGGCCTTGCTCGAGCAAGAGCGGGCTGCTCGAGTCGGAGCAGAAAAGGCTCGAGCTGAAGTGGAACATGCTTAAGCTGAGGCAGAAAAGGCTCGAGCCAAAGTAGAGAAAGCTCGGGCTGAGCTAGAGGCCACCGTGGCTAAAGAAAGGGTTGTTCATGCCGAGGAGAAGCAACGCTATGCAAATGCCACTACTCTCCGAGCAAGGCAAATGCTTTGGGCGACAACAACCGGGCAGCTCTTCCTCCGTGAGCATCGCGCGCAAGTGGTGGCAGACTTCGTGCAGTTGCCACAATATCTGAAGGAGGTGCAAGACTTCGGGGTGGACTGTTTTCAGTTCGCCCTGCAAAAGGCTGGTGAGCAGATCGCCGAGGACGATTTTGAGCAGCTCAACCCCGTGGCTATGGGATGCTTTGCCCAAAGTGCCCTCTAGCTTCCGCAGAGACCCTTTCTTGCCACTCGAGCATGAATGGTGGTCAGGGCAGCTCGAGAGAACCTTGGCTCGATCGGACACACTAAAGAAAACATTCACTCTGCCTGATGGCATGACCCCTCCGACCTCCATGTTGATCGCAACGGCCGAATCTATCAGACGACGCCCTCTCAATGAGGCAGGCGACTCAACCTTTAGCACTGGTCCCCAACCCGATCCTAATGCCAGCTCGAGCAATGCTGACTCGGCCGCTGCCCCTCCTCCTTAGAGTAGCCACCTTTGTATTCTATTTCTTTCGTACTCTGGTTTTGTACTCTGATGACCTTTGTAATATTCTTGAAATGGTAATGTTTTGTTTCTATCTTCAATAATGCTCTTTGGTAATTTGACTTGATGCCTTTGTCGTACTCTTCAACAGAAAGACCAAAGTGGACTTCAGAGAATGATGGAAGCGAACTTTGATACATGATCAACACGCTTTCATTAGTCGACCCATTCTTCGTTATTTAATCGATGTTTGTACGTTTGAACACATGCCCACCCCTGGAGGTGGTCGAAGCATGCGACCATCCAACCTTGTGGCATTAAACATGATGGATTTTACATTTTTGAACACATACCCACCCCTGGAGGTGGTCGAAGCATGCGACCATCCAGCCTCGTGACCTTAAAAATGATGGATTTTAAATTTTTGAACACATGCCCACCCCTGGAGGTGGTCGAAGCATGCGACCATCCATCCTCGTGACCTTAAACATGATGGATTTTAAATTTTCGAACACATGCCCACCCCTGGAGGTGGTCGAAGCATGCGACCATCCAGCCTCGTGGCCTTAAACATGATGGATTTTAAATTTTTGAACACATGCCCACCCCTGGAGGTGGTCAAAGCATACGACCATCCAGCCTCGTGGCCTTAAACATGATGGATTTTAAATTTTCAAACACATGCCCACCCCTGGAGGTGGTCGAAGCAT